GTCCTTTTGTTGCTAGTAGTACGGCCAGGAGCCCCTACTAGCGTCCTCTTGTTTCTAGTAGTAGGGCCAGGAGCCCCTAGTAGCGTCCTTGCTCCTAGTAGCGATGCCAGGAGCCGCTAGTAGCTCCTTGCTCCTAGTAGTATGGCCAGGACCCCCTAGCAGCTTCTTGTTACTAGTAGCTTCTGTGTTGAAACAAAACTGGTGGGACCTTTGGCGTGTCCAAAAACGATATAGAAAACGTGTAGAAAAGGCTTCGAAAGTACAGGAACAAGGTATCCGGAAGTGTCCTGTGTTTCTTTTGGTTTTACATTTTCCACTGAAAGAGTCTCAGACTTTAGATAAGATGCTGCAGCTGGACTTGCATGCAAACTGCGGGAGGACATCGCTAGTAGGTTGGAGGCCATTTCTATTAGGTTGGACTCTACCAAGGACTCTTCTGGAGACCATTGCCTTGAGACGAGTTCTTCCCCAGGAGTCATCCAGAGTGGTTTGACCTCTGACATAGCACACACAAAAGCAGAAACGTGGTGAGGGCAGTGTCGGGGTGTGAAAAATTAGTGTTGATACAGATCAAATCTGCCATGAAGATGTGTTGCTCAATTGTTGAAGGGTGTGCGAGTCCACGACAGAGAGAGGTGTGTGCTGCTAGCCTAACTGCTGTCTCACCTCATGTCAGTATATATGCTTGGGAATATATGATTTTATAATTCTAGCGATGCACTTGTTACTATTAGCTTATTGGTTTCTAATAGCTTCTTGTTACTACTAGTAAGGCACCTGTTACTACTAGCGATGCACTTGTTACTACTAGCTAGACTGACACAAGAAAGTCATAATTACATCGTCGAATCGTTGGTGCACAAAGTGGATGACAATCTCGGTTTACTTGAAGCTCAGCTGGCTGGGCTTGGAACAAGAAAACAAAACAGGGTAGGAAACGCTACTAGGAGCAAAGGGCATCGCTACTAGGAGCAAGAACGCTACTAGGGCTCCTGGCCTTACTACTGTACTAGGAGCAAGAAGATACTAGTAACAAACAGCGACCAATTTTCCCTGAAGAGCCGAGGTGCACAGTCGATCGCACATTTGAAGACATCATTCCTCTCCAGCTGTAACAAGAAGCTACTAGGTGGAGGCCATGGCTCTTAGGGTGGAGGCCATCGCTACTTTAGTAGCAAGGGCATTACAACTAGTAACAAGTGCATCGCTACTAGTAACCTTAAGAAGCTACTACTGTAGTAATTGCAGAGGACGACCTCCGCGGCTTGTGCCTCAGCCTTTGCCAAGAAAGCCAACAATGGGCAAAGGCATTGCATTTTCAGGACCGGGTTTGTTTCCAGGAAATGCTTCCACTTCTCTTTTGCAAAGCATGGCAGCTTTGCATTTGCCAGATGGAACATGGATTTGTTTGATGGCCCAATTTGGTTCTCACTTTCCCCGCTGCGGAAAAATAAATAGAAGAGCTCCTGGGGAGTGGCAGCTTGCGGATGTCACTCCTCAATCGGTCCAAGTATGCCTGTCCGAACAAAAGAAGACTATATAAACCATTATAAACCAGAAAAGAATACTGTAATGAAATTTAAGGGACAGAAAGGAATTCATTGTTTAAGAAGTATATAATATATTTATGTATATATATGACGGAGAACACGCGAACACACAGACAGTAATCCGTCCTTGTTTCCGGGTGGGGCTCAACTGAGGAGATGGGTCACTGGCACCGCAAGAAGAGAACTTGTCCCACGGTGCTCTCACCAGGTCTTCACCCAGGTCTTCGCAAAAAAATCACATTATGTGGAGGCCATCGCTCTTAGGTTGGAGGCCGTCGCTAGGTAGGTTGGAGGCCATCGCTATTAGGTTTCAGAAACTGTTCACTGAAGACTTCGTAGAGCTTAGCCCCGAAGTGGAGCATCATTTTGGGGGAGGGGCAGCAGCTATGTCAGTTTATGCATAGCGTATAGAAGAAGTGGAAGTACATTATCGAAAATACTCGTAGAGACTATATACAGCAGACAGCAGCATTACTAGGAACAAGAAGCTATATACTAGGAACAAAGGGCATCGCTACTAGGAGCAAAGGATGCTACTAGGAGCAAGGACGCTACTAGGGGCTCCTGGCCTTACTACTAGGAGCAAGAAGCTACTAGGAACAAAGGGCATCGCTACTAGGAGCAAGGACGCTACTAGGGGCTCCTGGCCTTACTACTAGGAGCAAGAAGCTACTAGGAACAAAGGGCATCGCTACTAGGAGCAAGGACG